ACTCGTTCTTCAAGGGGAGAAAGTTTTCGCGAACTGAGGTTAACCACAGTTTCTCCTAATTTTAGAGTATTTCCCCCCGCGTTCAGTTTAAATGGGAGACCCATGAAAAATAAATACTTTTTGCAGTGGGGGACATCCAGTGGATGTTATCCGAAATGACACTGACCACTCCATTGAAGCGAGGAATAGTATGGGCATTGGTAGACGGTTTATGATATAATAGACTGGAGGTAATTGACTAAATGAGGTTCAGCTAATTGTAGCTCCTTTGAGTAAGGAATATGTGTGGCGTAAAGGGTAGCAGACGGTAATTTCGACTAGGCAAGTTTGAGGAGTTCCAGCATTCTTCTGTGTATGGATTCTCCTGATTCCTGTTTATTATTTAGGCCAACATGAAATAACACCTTTTTCGGAATGGTTGTTGGAGAGATCTTGGAGATTAATGTATTGATATGCTGAATTCGGGCACCAGGGTAAGATTCGGCTTGGGTATCTGGATGTAGGAACGGGATGTTGCTGATGTTGGAAGATCCAATGATAACTGTTGGTTTGGTGAGTGTGGGAATAGACCATTTGGATTTATCCTTCTCATTATTATGACGTCGTGGTTTACAGGCTGGAGATGAGGGTGAGGTGGTTAAACTTAAGCGGCGGCGAGTATTGGTACGTTGAGGTTTCGGTGTTTCAGGGTTCGATCTTGGCGTCGTCATTGGTGTGGATGGAGTTGCAGTAAAAGTTGGTAATGGTTAAGTACGTCTATCAGTGTGAGGTTTCTTGCTTATGGATAGTGGTTCTTGCGAGGTACTAAGGCCAAAAGGTGATGGAGTTCTTTTGCGTTTCGGCGTAGGTCTTACATCTGCGTGAAATACAGAATACAAGTGATTCTGCTGAATGGTATCATTTTCGTTAACAAGATATTGTAGCTAATGATATTTCCCCTAATAATATTCTGTTGGGTCATACGTCAACTAATGTACAACGACCCTTTCGTGAAACTAAAAATCCTAGACATCGTGTAGAATTTGTTCTAAATTACAATGCTGTTTGTGGTATTGGACTTTAGGAATAATATTAGAAGTTAATCCGGGAGCTGACAATCGTGTGAGAAAACAAAGGCTCTGAATACCTGTTTGCGTCTTATTGTCTGCAAATGAATCTGATTTGAATGAGGACTAGCTTAGAGAATGTTCTGATTAAGACTGTCCATATGTCCAAACCGTTTCTAACTTATGCATTTTCTAAATCTGTTCCGTAATATTTTTTTATAACCATATTTCCGGTTATAACACATGGTATTGTCATAAATTCAAATAGAAAGAATTAAGAAAAAGTGAGTAAATAGAAAAATAGATACCCTGTAATTAAACTTATAAAAGAACCAACTGTATTATTAATTATGCCTGTGTTATTAACTCTATAGAATTTGCCAATTACGATGGGTCTCTAAAGCCGGCTTTATGCATTCTCATCCACCGTTTACCAATCAGATTTAGATTCCTCATAGAAACATACTTATTGAACGACAAGAAATTATTTTCCATTCTACCCATGAACATATTTGTGTGATTAATGTGGTGTCGTGTTCATTAGTTTTTAAACAAAATGATTTGTCAAAAGTCAGAATATGTAAAACTGTGAGTTTCCAGCATAGGTTGAAATGATACCTTCCGACTTATCGGATATTTCAGAGACTTGGGTTGAAATAGCTGAAACAAGATAATCAATAAACAAACGTTTTATTAAAGGGGCATTCCGCTTTGTTTTTTTTTTATGAAAGTGTGCAGCAAAATAATATAGAGAAATGAGTCCCTGAAACATATCTGAATGTTTAAACTAAATATATCCAGCTGTTCATTTTTAACATAAAAACTATTTAAAAAGTTTACGCAGGTGTCATGATATTTGCAAGCTAACTACTGTTTAAAGTTATATAAACGCCTAATTGTAGAGAAATATGTCTCCTACGTATTCTAAAGGTTCCAACTAATAAAAAACTCATACTCAATATTATTCAATATTACCTTAAAATCTTTCTAACCCGGTAAAAACTTGTCCTCGGTCATTATCCTATACATTAACATACTTGGTAATTAACACAAGAAAAAAAATTAATTTTCAAACAAAACAAAAAAATTGTTATAAAACACCATTTGAAAAGTAAAAAAATAACCATTAATATATGACACATTTCCCTTTTACATCAAACAAAAAAAAATTGTTATAAAACACCATTTGAAAAGTAAAAAAATAACCATTAATATATGACACTTTTCCCTTTTACACCAAACAAAAAAAAAATTGTTATAGAACACCATTTGAAAAGTAAAAATAACCATTAATATATGACACATTTCCCTTTTACACCAAACAAAAAAAAATTGTTATAAAACACCATTTGAAAAGTAAAAAAATAACCATTAATATATGACACATTTCCCTTTTACATCAAACAAAAAAAAAATTGTTATAAAACACCATTTGAAAAGTAAAAATAACCATTAATATATGACACATTTCCCTCTTACATAATACAATAAACATACTTTTTAAATAACTATTATTTAAAAATGAAGGTTGAATGAATTTTGATTCAATGAGAAAGGCCGGGCCAAATACTCTCAGGCTTCGGTTTCAGTTAATCCGCGACCCGCTTTTCTCTTAGAACTTTCTAACCCGGTAAAAACTTGTCCTCGGTCATTATCCTATACATTAACATACTTTGTAATTAACACAAGAAAAAAAATTTAAAATTCAAAATATAAACCATAAATATATGACACATTTTCCTTTTACATTAAACAAAAAAATGGTTATAAAACACTATTTGAAAAGTAAAAAAAAACCCATTAATATATGACACATTTCCCTTTACATGATACATACTTTATAAATAACTATTATTTAAAAATAGTCTTAATTTATGGAAGGTGTCTTAATTCTTAATTCCTAAATTCAACATTTGTCATAGAACATTAACATTTGTATAGGACAATCAAATTGATTGTGTACCGACAATCGTCATTCTTATTGGGTTATCTCATTTCTAAATTAATAATATCCTTCCCAATAAATCATAAAATCCAAATTTAGCTCAAGATATCTTTTAATCCATATCGTTTAACAAAAAACTCAACCATCAAATTTCAAATACAAATGTTCAATTACGAATCGGTAGAATCAAACCCTTCAGAGTGCTTTTAGAGCTTTGAATCTAGCATAATTTACAAAATAATGGCTTTTCCATGCCTAGCTTTGTTACATGGTCAATTTATAAAAATAAATCAATTTCTCAAGTAGTGACAAGGTTTTGGTGACATTGAGTTTTACAATGATGTATGGCGTTTCAAAAGGATTAAAATATTTTCTACTTCTATACTTCCGTTGAACTGACAAACTAAACAATATCGCAATATGGCCAAGTCTACAATGATGGCCGGTAACAAAGTTCGGAATTGGAATGCTTTTTTCGAAAATTTTGCTAAATTCACAACAGTTCTGACGATACTATGGTGTCGGGCTTCTTCCGATTCCATTACAGATTAACCAATGACCTATATGTCATAAAATTATGATATGAGTGATTATCCAGATTCTGATAATCGTGTTCGAATTTGATCCAATTCTTTAAGTCGTTTTATTTAAAATATTTCGTTTTTATAATTCTATTAGAACAATTTCAGTCATTCCAAAAATTTAGTGCATCTATCAGCAAACACAACTTATTTGGCCAGTGAAATAAATTGTGTAAAATGTAAATTGATAAACGATCAGCGACGCCTGTCTTTATAATCCTGACCTTCAAATATATTCAACATGTATTTGGAGAATTGTTTCGCAAGGTTTGTTGGGCGAGATTCCTAATTGAACATTTGTATTTGGACATTTGTTGGTTGAGTATTGATATGCATTAAAAGAGCTAGATTTGTGTTTGACAATTTGATATTTTTAGCAAATTAGCAAACCCAGTGTTTATCCAAGTACGCAAATTGATTTCCTATTACAAATGACAATTGTTGAATTTAGCGTACAAATTAAGAGAGATGAATTTAGAATTAAGAGGTATAAAATAGCAACGAAGAACATTGAATAAAAAGCCAATCCGCCTTCCATATTGGCAACAGCTGCAAATTTACTTTCAACTGATTTACATGTTAAGGCCTGGTCCCACTGGTGTTTAGAAAGATTTGCGCATGTATTGCGTTTATATTCGCTAAACATCCGCAATATTCGTGAAGTATGCCACGACCGACATCCGCACACCGCAGGAGCCCGTTTTTCCAGTGCAACTGTGAGAAGTACCGTAATACTTCCGTGATAATCGCAACTCGTCCGATCCATTTCCTCAATACATTTTCTATCTAGTGATGAGGTACGGCAGCTTTTTTGAAGGAATTGATAAAAACCCAAGCCCATAGTGTCATCTGCAGAAGACAACGAACGTCTGAAATTTGTATATGCAATACATGCACAGGCCTTTAGACAATTGCTCAACTACCATATGGACTATTTTTGTTTTTTTATATTTTGACACCTCTGCCATCTTTCTATACATAATATATTTTTTGATGTTTTTTATATGAAACTTGGTATGCGTGATGGTGATACTCTATCGATCCTTAAAAGAAAGTCAAAGTAAGCTCTATTACAACTATGATAATATGCTTAGTTCGTTTACTTGATTTAGTCCGTCTTGTTGAGCAATATCTGTTTCAAATTGTGTAGAAATTTCGATTCATCCACAGAATTGACACCTTAAATAATATCAATGAACATTCTCGGACCCAACTTAGGCGGTAGGTCGATTCATATAGTCCTGTAACTGCACTGTAAAAAAAATTTCCTTCGATTAACAGAAAAAATTCCGGCAGCTGATTTACCAGAATTTAAATTTTGCCTTCAGTTTATAACAGAATTTCTTGTAAAATATTTGCTTTAAATAACAGAAATATTTTACTACAAAATCTGTTAAATTACAGAATGACTAATAATATTTCCTGTAATTAACAGAAAATAGGAAGGATATTCTGGTAAATCTGCTGCCGGAATTTTTCTAATATTTCCTGTAATTTAACAGAAAAATAGGAAGAATATTCTGGTAAATCTGCTGCCGGAATTTTTCCTTCCAGTTCTGTAAAAAAACAGAATTTTAAAAAGGATATTCTGGTAATAAATCTGTTGCCAGAAATCATTTTCATTTTACTGTAAAATAACAAAACATTTCAACTTTATGTGTTTATTGGTATTATTTGTGCAATGAACATAATCAGAGAAAATGATGTTAACTACACCTTTAATTATACATACAACTGAAAATGTGGGCGTATAAAAACAATCTCTTGCATAAAAACAAATGATGAACTTGAAATACATACTCATCACTAATGACATCTATAACATTTTGATAACTAATGACATCTTTTAATGATATTCTCATAAGTAATGACATCTTCATAACGTTCGGATTTAACTAATTTGGATTTAACTAATGTCTTTTTTTATTTATGTTGACACTCTTTTCTCCACATTGCCCATATTTTATTAATATTGACAGAACTTCAAGGACCTGTGGTCCACTTCACTTTTTTTAGTGTTCCACATGTTTATAAGACTCCATCATCCAGCACAATACTGTTTATGATGCAACTCTAATCATTATTATAAGGCCTAATTGTTTTTGATGTGCACAGTTAATTGTTGCTCGTTCAAAAGTCAGGTCAAGTCTCATAATGCTCCGTAACTTTTAGCTGGTAAATAATGGCAGAAACTCTAAAGAAAGGGAAAAGGTGACATACCTGAAAAGATAAACTTAAAATGAGAAGATATTTGTTGTGCTAACGTACTGTAGTAGTGTAGTAATAGTAGGGCACTGGATCTTTTAGTTCGAGAAATCCAGAGTCCAATTTGCCCTCGTTTACAAATTTTGTAATGCCTCGCCTACGTGGTGGGTCCTAACATTGAGTGTAAACGGTTAAGGTTTATTAACAAGAATATTAATGACAAAATTCTCATTCCTTGTATTCTTGTACTCTGGTGCAATCATAACCATAAAAGGCTGAAAAAGCAAGGATGTACAAAAACAGAAAAAGAAATTATAAATTAAAAATAATAAAATAGTAAAGGCATAAGAAAGTGGATGGAACTTAAGAGCATGATGCAATGACACACTTCTGTATAGCAGTCATGGGTGGCCGTACAAAATAATTTCTTAACAGCAGGTTGCACAGTTTGACATCAATAAGACATTGCATATGTTATTAACAGTAGGTACAAACATTTTATATAGTGTCACATGTACAAAGTTGGTGGGAAAACTGACTTGAGGGATCTATGCATAATTTGGCGCCATTTTGTCGGGTTTGTTTACATTTTGGTAAAAGTTTTCAGACAGCATGAACAAATATAAAATTGCAATAGAAATTATGGATCCTGTGATATTTCATATCGTTGGAGGTTTTCTTATGTAATCGGGTATTAACTTACATTGCGGTTGGCTAAACCTGAAGAATTAGAGAAATGAATTTGAGGACTTCATTGCCATAAAAACATTATTAATTTTTCTACTCTCTTAGACTGAAGAGTTCTAAACAGAAAGATGACTCTTGACAAGACTGATCTAAGTTTCAGACCACAAATACCACACATGTATAAAGTGATAAAATGGTAACATTACAAATTTATTTAGGCAATAATTAAAATACACTCACCTGTGAATTTGTATTCAGTGATCATTTCCACTCTACCCAAGACCAAGTAAGCTAAGCCTAGTCTAGTTCATCATGTAGGATAAATTTAAGTCATTTTGTCGTTGTCCCCACACGCTTAAAATTCAGTAAAACATTTTGCAGTTTTTGACAAAGGGTGATAATAGAACAGGAATGAGTGCTGGAATATCGGGTCAGCATTCCAAGTTCTCCATGCATCTCACCATATTAAATTTAATTTAAGAAATTCACAAAAATCTCTTCGACGTAGCCTTGTTTTGATGTGGGATAAGATGGCGGCGTGACGATAAACTGACCTCGTGTCTTTACCGATGACGTCTTACCTACTTTGATTAACAGGTCGAAACTATCATAACGCAAAATAACAGTTTCCGTAAATTAACAGCAATCCTGTTATAATTTTCCGTAAGGAAACATAAAGTTCCTGTCAAAAAAACAGTATGACCACGCATGCGCAGACTTCGCTTATCTACAGACAAGACTTAGTATGGAAAAAAATGATAATAACACAGAATTTACGTAAATTTACTGACAAATAACGTAATTGTTCTTAAATGACATACGACCAAGATTAATTTACGTAAAATAACATATATCCTTATTGCGGAACTAACATTCTGTTAATGTAAGAACAAAGTCCGTAAATCAACAGAAAAGTATGTATATCAGCAGAAATTTACGTATATCAACAGAAAATATCAAGTAAATTTCTGTAAAAAAAACGGACTTTTTTTTACAGTGTGTGTCATTTTCTAGTGCGGCACGTTGTCCCACATTGCAGTCACGAACAACATATAACCCAAATACTGAAAAGATCCTGCCACAAATAAATTCATGCGTTGTTTCAAAACCTACAGACTGTTATAACTTATGATTTTACCCACAGTACATTTTGGGGCCATTTAGAATAATTTTTAAGTTGCAATGGAATATTTTGAATACTTGGTTGTCGAGGAGTGTATTTGTGTCGTTTCATGAAATCTAAAATTTCTGCGGCTGTATCTTGCTTTTTCGCATGTTGGAACCATTCCATAAAAATACAGGGGATTTCTACTGATTTGAAAAACTCTTCGCCACCTTTTAAAACACTATTTTCGTGAGATTCCACGTCAATTTTCATAAAAGCTTTTTTAAAAGTTACAAATGGTAAGAGGTCATCGAGTAAAACTGTTTGAATCGTGTTCTTATCAAATTCTGAGGGTGTTTGGACCACCTTAATGTGACTAAGACCGGTGTTGTCTTTCATTATGGTTGCGGTGCTAGATTCAAGAGTTATATTTGAGGAAGATTTCTTTCTCATTATCTTTGTTCCACCGACATTTCCATGTTCTTGAATAAAAGATACCGTAGATTGGATGTCCGATAATGCCGTGTAGAATACTTTTATCTTCGAACTAAACTTATTATGCTGAATAGAAGAACAAAGTCGAATTACATTTTCATACAAGGGATCAACAGCGATGACCTGACGTCCCATTCTGGCTCCCATTAACGAGTATTGACCGACATGAGAACCTATGTCCAATAAATGCATATCTGGATCACGTGCCATGTAATGGTGTATTAATGTCAGGATTTCATATTCCCATGCTCCGCTCTTTTTTATGGAACCAGAAACCCATCTGTCAACTTTTGTATCATGAATGAAAATTGTCATTCCACCTGCAGGAGTGTGTAGATTAGCAGAATCCAACCCAGTGGAACTATGACAGAAATTGTCCCATTCTTCCCAAGAACCACGATTCCATCTCAATATTTCAGCTTTAGTTCTCATTGGATTAACGGTGGCTATCGGTATCCATGGAATATTTGTTGTTGAAATGGAATGAGCTGTTTGTTTATGTTGCTTTGGCATTGTATTTATAGATATATTCGATATTGATGATCTAATCTGTGACATTTTGAGAATAAACTTTCCAGAGTGAGTTATGTGTTGAAACATGACAGTCAAGATACTTCCCAGTAACAATATAAACAGAATGTTCAGCTTTCTATTTCCAATCATTTTATCAGATGTGGGGATGATATGGCTTTGCTATTTTCAATTAACAAAACAATAAATATTGTACATTTGTGTACGTTGTAAACAGTTCTACGTCAATTTCAGTAGGTGTACTAGTGTAGCACATGACGTTGTGTGAAAGTCATAAAAGTTTGAATCGCTTCGTTACTGTAGCATTCGGTCTATCACAGATCAACAAGTATTGTGTAAAACGCACTATGTAGTTCGCTTATGAGGCAAATGATTTTGTATTGTTGGTTGTTAAAACATGCACATCACTACATTATATTATTGGTTCGTTACAACATACACATCACTATAATATATTGTTGGTTCGTTAAAACATACACATCACTATATTATATTGTTGGTTCGTTACAACATACACATCACTATATTATATTGTTGGTTCGTTAAAACATACACATCACTATATTATATTGTTGGTTCGTTACAACATACACATCACTATAATATATTGTTGGTTCGTTACAGCATGCACATCACTATATTATATTGTTGGTTCTTTAAAACATGCACATCACTATATTATATTGTTGGTTCGTTACAACATACACATCACTATAATGTATTGTTGGTTCGTTACAGCATGCACATCACTATATTATATTGTTGGTTCGTTACAACATACACATCAATATATTATATTGTTGGTTCGTTAAAACATACACATCACTATATTATATTGTTGGTTTGTTAAAACATACACATCACTATATTATATTGTTGGTTCGTTACAACATACACATCACTATATTATATTGTTGGTTCGGTACAACATACACATCACTATACTATATTGTTGGTTCGTTACAACATACACATTCCTATATTAATTTGTTGGTTCGTTAAAATATACACATCACTATGAAAGATGGAAAGAATCGGTTATTATGGTTTAACGCAACTGAACTGTATTAGTCAACAAGTTTCCATTCATTACAATTTCTTCAAATAATTACTATAAATAAAATCAAATATGGGTAGTACTGAACAGCACGCATTTGTGAACCCTTCTACATTGGGCAAGTATGAAATTATGTTATCATAAGCTGCCCAAAAATATATAGAAATACAATGCATCAATGAATAGAACATGAATTGGAATTATCTAAGTAGAAGTAGACTGAAGGTCAAAAGTTTTATTGGTCATTTTTAACCTTTTGTCAGTAAGTTTTAACTTTTTTGAATTTTCCTTAAAGCCATACTAATGTTTGACCATGCCAAAATCTGACCATGTTTGACAAATATTGCTGGGTTCAAGATTCAAAATTTTCTTAGTTATATTTATTATAGGATTGTTTTGCGTCAAAGTATGGGAATGTAATAATTTATGACAGTCTTATAACATACTAACATCAAAATATTCCTTTTTCATTAATATTCATGTGCCAAATGCAAAAGGCCCATTTCTGTTGTCGAATCTACAAACCCTTACAACCCTTTTTACCAGTAGGCTATATAAAGATAATTACTTCTTGATATACTAAATACTATTAATCTTACCTTAATAATAAAACGTATAACAATCCTTATAGATGAAATATATAGACAGTTATGCTATATAGCCGAGAAAGTCAACTCATTGATTTAATCATACCATATGCGAACATAATAACTGATTATTACCATAGGATATTATTTGGATTGGTTAACTATCCAATTGCTTTTAAGTCCTTGTCATATTGGACATTCGATGTACTCAATATACTTTCTTAATCAAATAAAGGTATTTACTGTGTAATCAAGTTCACGATTCGTCATCATTATTGTGCAAGACGCGACTGCACGAAAAAGGTATCGGATATCAAAAACTATTGAATATGCATTATTTTGCAAAATGTGACGTTACGCTATCGATATATCCCATACATTGATTATAAGAAAAATCTTAAAGATTTGGAAAATTAAATTGTCGTAACTTTCGTCAGATAAAAAAATGCAGTGGTTGTAATTTTTACTTTTAACTACCGAACATTTTTAGCTGTCAAACTACTGTGTAAAAATGCGCTGCCATGGTTTGAATCGATTCTGTTTCTTATGGTTTTATTGAACAAACATTGTTTGCGTATTCGTAATAGGTAGAAATAGACCAAATCTATTTATTAGCTTTCAATTTTCAATAAAGGGCATGTCCAATATAATTGCTAATGCACTATCTAGATCTATTTAAAGTCTCTAAAGTACTCGCTGCACTGTATGAATAGAACTTAAATTTTTGTCACTAGTCGCGAATAAGTCAAGATTGGAATCCATTGACAGCCTTTCTCTCCATTTACTAAATTCTATTTTATGTACAGCGGTCCGGACATATTTTTGCCACAAATAAAAAGTTGCTTAATGATTCAGATGAATGATTTCTAGCATCCTTATAATATCTGGCACAAATCCGTATTGCTTTGTGATGCATTCATGTTTGAATTTTCTTTGTGGAACTAACACAAACACTAACCTATTTTTCGTGCATCTCCGGAAATGATTAATAATGTGCGATCTCGCATGACCTCCGGAATTGCTTACTTATGTAAACATGGGTAATCTCTACAATGTCAGCTAGAAAAATGAATTCAGTAGTTTCACGAAAGGTAAAATGTGTTAATGTATACTTAATGGCAAATACAAAATGGCGGATTTCCATTATTACCAAATATCATAATTTTTTTATCGGCCGAATTTCCTTATAATACCAAACTGTAATCGGAATACGTCTGCAAAAATGTAGTCCAATGAACGAAGTCACCTGATAAACCAGCGGATTCCGTGTCACCAGAAAAATTCTATGGAACACAATGTGGACCGTATTCTTATGTTGTTTCAATGACTTTTAGCAATAAATCACCCTTACGTTTGATTTATCTTATTTTGTCCGTCAATATTTTTTTAAAATGATTGTTCTTTGAAGGAATTGTCACTAGTTATAATGAAATATTATTAAAGATAAATACTAAGAGAAGTTAATTATACCACTGGGTATGCATACTTATTATCTCGACTTATTCAAAGATCAAACATTGTACACGAAATAGGTGACGCATTTAACAGCCATTGTCGAGTTGTTACTCATGAAATATGAGTCATGGTGAGGGATTCATAAAAAATGAAACAAACAAATTTTGATTATTTTTTAGAATATCTGAGAAAACTTCTAAGATTTGCGTAATTTTGAAGAAATTCGATGGTTAATCCTTATATGCACTAATATAGGTTACACCACTGTACTAGCTGTAAGGAATTGGTGTCTTTGTAGTACTAACTATAAGGTATTGGTGTCTATGTAGTACTAACTGTACGGTATTGGTGTCTATGTAGTACTAACTGTACGATATTGGTGTGTATGTAGTACTAACTGTACGGTATTGGTGTCTATGTAGTACTAACTGTACGGTATTGGTGTCTGTGTAGTACTAACTATGCGGTTTTGGTGTCTATGTAGTACTTACTGTAATTAAATTTGAGTCACAAATGTTAATTAAAATGTAAAAATTTTAAATTATCATGTATGAAAGTTATAATATTATTCAGCATGAGAGTTCTAAGTGACGATCGTCTTGAATTCAACACAAGACCTATGATATAAAACATACTCTCCTCTGCAACGCTGCTTGCAGGATTTCCTATAAATTCTCGGGCATGTACATCAAGATAAGGATATAAGTTCCATGTCTTTTCCCGCCAGGTCATTTGAGACTTGATATTCGCGAATTGAAAAGTAGAAAGGCTGCTACTAAAACTTTTTCGACTTTTTAAATCGTAAATGGTCATTATCATAGATCTGTAGGTTGAAGGTCCATAGCCTATATAACCAAAATTTAAATTTCCTCGAATTTTAAGTATTGTAACATTGCAATAAAAATGGAGAATCTAGATTTTCTGTCTCTAAACTAGTTTAGAATTGTCAGGATTCAAGACCATACAGTTTTCTTTTTCATCATCTGACAGTGCATGTGACAGCTATTTTGGCAACTTTAAATGACGACTCTGGCTCATTATCTGGTACTGATAGATATCTGATTGGATTTTTTGGCATTTTCTAAATCATTCATATGTTTCATCTGCGGAAAACAAAGCATGCATAACTTTTGGATGTTGTTCATGCAGTAATAGCTTATCTCTTTAAATCTAAACAAGTACGCTTGAGATTTATTTGAAATAGGTATAATTTCTGATAAATTTTTTTCATCACTAATAACTAAGTAATTCAGTAATTCATCTTTTCAACTGTTTGTATAAATAGACTTATTCTCTACAGTCTAGTGTCTAGGTCAATTTAAAGGTATACTTCCTTTAAAGATGGCATGACGTCACTTGGTTAGGTCGAGAGAATGGCGGCTGTGGGTTCAATCCTCGAATAAGCCATCTTCACTCATAATTCCATGCAGTCGACCCAGCTGCACATGGGTGTGGATAATACGGGCAAGATCAATGCCAAGAGGTTTGGCCAATTTCCAGCTGGTAGAAAGGATCCTTAACTGTGAATCTAAGTTGTAATCCTTGTAAAATATAGCCTAGTTGTTTCTTTCATTCTTTTTCTTTCTTACCTGGTGTCAAAACTATACAAAAGAAACTATCCCTCTATAATTCAATAAAACCATATAACTAAGTAATAATTTATTAAATTAAATAATTATAAGTATGTTTCAAAATTACTTCGTTTAATTGATATTGTAATATCTTATATAGAGATTCCATTCATCCATTGGTAAGTCCAACTGATGAATATATACACTTTTTGAGACTTTAAATTTTATTTGAATTCTAAGAGGTTGTATCTCTTTAACTCGAGTTTTGTGATAATTACAAAGTTTTGGCTTTTTGATGATCAACTTACGTGACAAAATTATTATTCCATTTATAACTGCACACAGACGACTTTAATAAACTAATAACTTTAATGTAACAAAATCACATCTTCATCCTGTTGGCGCCCTTAATTAATTTTTAACCATCACTTTAAATACTTAATACTGGCCGGTATGCACGAAATATTATATTTAAATACATTACGTTTTAAATTCTTTTTATATTGTATGTACCTCTTAAAATAAACTTAAATTCACTTAACAATTGGCTAATTTGATGCAAAACGTACTGCCGATCAATTTAACTTAGAGATGGTCTTTTAAATCCACGGTTCGGGATCAATCGTACCTTGGATTCAGAAATGGGATTTGTTTAGCTTAGCTAATAGATTATAGTATTCATAGCTTCCTCGAAATTTGAGTCTTCTTAGCCATGTGTATCCATAATTATCCATCTTTCAAAGTTCAAGATTACTATCGAAGCCATGAACAGTACGTCAAAAGTTGACTATGCCCAGAGGTTTAATGACTAAGTCTCCGTCATTGGGTCTACAGGCAGAAGGAAGGTCAGAAGAACGTCAAGATCCCTCTCAAACTAGTCTCCATTTCTATTTTCGATTTACCTAAATGATTTGAGTAATTACTTTGAGGAAAATAATATGATTGGACTAGAAACTATAAATAAAGAAGTGAAACTGAGACTAGGAATCTTTTTAAAACTTTTCGCTCTTCTTTATGCTGACGACACTTGCTTATGTGCTGAAAATCCAACTGATTTACAAACCCAACTTCATTCATTTTATAATTACTGTAATTAATGGCGTTAATACCAGAAACTAAATACTTGTGTTTGGTAAATGGAGATTATCAAAAAATGTAAACTTTCAATATGCTAACCTGGAATTGGAAATAGTTAACGAATTCAAATATCTTGGTTTTAATATTTGCTAAATCTGGAAGTTTTTAAAAGCTCGTAAAGATCTATGCAATCGTGGAACTAGATCAATGTATGCAGTACTTCAAAAATGTTGATACCACAATTTACCAATCGACTAGAACTTTTTGATACCATTGTAAAACCCACTTTAATTTATTCCTGTGTAGTATGAGGTTTCGAAAATTCTATTCTAGAACAAATTCATCTTAAATTTTGTAAATATATATTACACGTAAAGGCATCCACGCCAAATTATATGGTTTATGGTAAACTTGGCCGATATCCATATTTCAAATCTATATTATTTATATTTCAAATCTATATTTATATTTAAAATCTATATTATTTATATTTTAAATCTATATTATTTATATTTCAAATCTATATTATTTATATTTCAAATCTATATCTATATTTAAAATGTATATTATTTATATTTTAAATCTATATTATTTATATTTGTATATTTAATTTAAATGTTTATTTTGTTTAACTAAGTTTTTAAATGTCGTTGCATTGACAATGTTGCAACGTTGCATTGAAACTGATCACAGATGTATAAAACTGTGAAATACAATAAGTAATTCATCCAAAATTCTATGAATATTTATATTTGAATGACAATTACAGTAAAGCACAGCGCTCGGTCAGTTCAGCCAGGTCTCTATTTGTTGAGTTGCTGAAACTGAGATGATGTTCAATTAGAATGCTCTTCCCATTAATCCAAGTCAATCTTTCACTTGTCCATTTATTTTACATATTGAAATATCTTGACTATCGTCCTTTAAATTATATTTCTATGATTGCAGAAGATCTGAATATTGATTTCAGATATATTTTAACATATTGTAATGTCAACTTTTCTGGAAGATTTCTACTTGTCGATATTTAGAAGGTAATTGAGTATGATGAGATTATTAGTATCGACGTCTTGGTAAAATTGATGTGCAGTGATAGCCATAGCATTAAGGTGTATACCGTGTAAAACACACGTTTAAGTTAACTTCTTTCAGCATGACCTCAATATAGCTGACTTTTATATGTGATTTTCCGTATTTAAATTCACTGATCAGTATGTTGTTTATTGATTATTGTTTCAATGATTCACTGAACATTTTCAAAATGTTCATCGATTATTGTCTCAATGTTTATCGATTATAGTCGCAAAAAAATTACTGTTTATTTTGTTTTTCGAAATGGATATTCGTGAAATGTCAAAGCGCATGCAAAATAAAGATGATGTTGAAAGAGAGTGAGAAGGAAGAAAATTGATGGTTGCCGTGATTAATTGGCACTGAAATTCACATTGACAAGCCTTATAAAATTGTTAACAAAATGTTGGTTAAAATAAAAACAAATTTTTGAATTTGAAGATTTACAAGCTCTAAAATGCATAAATAGTTTTTCTTTGAAATGAAGCGGGGCTACTTACAATTAGGGGTATAAACTATACATATGCGTATTTAAGTCGAAAATCTTTCATATGATTTTATTAGCTTAAAAATTTGATAGGATCTGAAGCAAACATGCAATATAAAACCATACACTACTTCATTTCATAATGTATCGTCTGCTACCCTGAAAGACCTTGACCTTTACGCTGCATATCATTATCTCGGGTAGGTCAAATTCAGGTAAACGTGTCCATATTATGTGCGTATCGTATCTCTTACTCTTAAGTTGATTCAGCACTTTAAAACGCTTGAAATCGGATAGAGTTACAGAATTTATCATGATTTGTTAAATCGACCTTGTACATCTTATCGATTTATTGATGTGACTTGGTCGACTTGTTTAAACAACTCGATACATATTCTAAGATTATTGTTAAAAAGTAGGTCACATTATATGAATTTTTTCCAATTGTCTAAAAAGTTGTCTTCAGGAATAAAGCTATTTTCTATAATAAAGCTGTGGAAAATAATATTTTGAATTTTTGTAACTAAGCAATCGCGAAAGGAATCGCACTTAAGAGTATCAAACTAAAATGTCAATAAAACAATAATATGGATTGTAACGTGTTTTACCGTTAGGCCGCGAATAGACGAGGTACGGTGTATGGTCCGGGATTGTGACTACAGAAGAAAATAGAAGTGAATACACGAAATATGGGTCTGGATAAGATTTTCTACTGTAACCTATCAATAACCCCGCAACGCACACCACACAAGACACCGTACCTCTTCCATTCCCACCTTTACACGTTACACTCTGATGAAAATACAATGTATATTTGTCAGAGTATTTATTACAAAATTGTGTGCAATGAAACAGGCACAATATTGTGAATAATCGATAAGCAATTAGCTACCATTCTAGTTCACTACATTATTTCACCATAATGAACAAGAACGAAATAGTCCAATTGATGTTTATATTCAATTATAAGTATTAGACCGTATTAGATCTATTTGAAATTCCTGAATTCATCTGCATATTAATATATCGTTATCATCGTTTGCGCATGTTTGCTCCTGTTTGTGCTTGTTTGCTCTTGTTAGTCGAACCTACATAAAATGTTTCAGTTTAAACGTACAAAATCAAACTGCAGTCCGTTATTTATTATATTGGATTTGTTATCATTTCAGAAATTCATTTCCATTCACAGAAATCACGAAATACAGTCCCATTATCAGAGATTCCGATTGAAATCCAAGGGAAGAAAATTGGGTTACGAAGTTTTAAAACCAGAGCAATGTCTCGATGTTAATTTTGCGCCATGTTAATAAGAAGAAAGTGTGTTTTATATATCATAATTTTGATCAGTTTCTTAATCTTCTACCTCTTCAAGATTTGGTATCCAAACGTTCGATCAGAGATATCATTGAAACCTTACATTGAACCGATAGAGGATGAAAAGACATTCACGAATATGGACGCTAAAACGACATCGTTACAGCCCGTTACTGCTGCATCGACAACTAAAAATACGTGGATGCCTAATATGACCCCAGATTATTACAGATTGAAACCAGAAGTGTTAAAGTGGAACAAAGGTTCTTGGGAAGAATGGGTCAATTTCTGTGATGGATCACGTGGTTTGAATTCTGCTATTCTGAAATCTCCGGCTGGTCAAATACCAATTTACATACATAACGTTACAGTTGATCAGCTTATATCCGGATCTATCGTTGAGCAGGGTTCTTGGGAAGGTGACATTATGTCTTTGATTCACCACTTTATGTCACGTGATCCAGAATTACAACTTATAGATATAGGTGCTCACATTGGTGAATATTCCTTAATGGCTGCGAAAATGGGACGACAGGTGATAGCGGTTGATCCTTTATGGGCCAATATTTTAAGATTGTGTACGTCCATTGATCGCAATAGCTTTAGTCCTCATATTAAAGTTTTCTACACAGCGTTATCAGATGTGCGCACTGAGGTGTCGTTTGTAAAAGAGAAAGGAAATTTGGGAGGAACTAAAATTTTGGTCAGGCGTAATCGGCGACAAAAACATGTTATTCCCCAAACGCGATTAGACTCTAACATTAAGTTGGTTAATACACCAATGAAATTTAACAAAAATGTAATAGATACAGTTTTACTTGATGATCTATTGCCATTTGTTTCTTTTAAAAAAGCTTTTATGAAAATAGACGTTGAAGAACACGAAAATAGTGTTTTAAAAGGTGGGGATCAGTTCTTTGACTCTGTAGACATTAAATATGTTTTAATGGAATGGTTCCAAAACGCTAAGAATCCAAGATCTGCCAAAGAAATAATCGAGTTTATGAAGAAGCATAGTTACTCTGCCGAAAGTCCTAATACAAATCACTCTCCTTTAGTTTACAGTGACTTTTCCAAATGGCCATTAACTGTCTTGTGGGTGAAACATTGATTATATCTATAAAACATTTCTTGATGTAGGAAAATTCCAATAAAAAATCTGAGCGTCAACTAGCCCACCCTTGAATATATTGTATTATTCAAAAACCAAATCGTAATATCAGACCAACCCCTTTCCACAATATGTTTTTGATTTGAACTCATGACTCCGACCCTCGATTTAACCTCGAAAAAGTGAGTATACAGTAACTATACAGTAGATTTGTATAAACAAAGAGGTGATTATCATACAATATAGAAATACAACACCTTTATATACCCACCTGTCCGACCACCCAAAACCATACACAACATAAAGAATTTGTTTTACCATTGTCCCTTTGATTACATCTAAAAGTATCGTTTTTAGTTTGCTTGCTGTTGTCTATGTTTGGTGATATGTCATGTAATATAATTCTGATTTTTCTTCTGTTATTGTATTTGTGGTACATTTATGTGGTACAGTTTAATTTCCTAAAAACCGAAATTTTTTATGTGTAATTTGGTTCTTTAGAATATCTATTTCATAACATTTCATTCATTCAAATGAATTTAATAAATTATTGAGAAAAAAATGCGTTACAAAAACATATAGCCTACACAATATGTATTTCCTATAGCAAGAGTTCTTTCCATCGTAAAATTCATTTTTCATTTCGTATTGGGGCATTTAAGGATATTTGAGGCTCATATTGACTGGCCATGAAAGTCATTAACATTCAAGTTTGGTTAGAAAGTAGAACACGAGCAACTAATAGCAACTGCTATAATTTATCAGTCAACGGATCTCAGCGTATCTCAGGTATCAGATGGTGAGATATTGGTTGATGGTGGCTCCAAATTGGCTGGAGGAGCATTTTGGCGCCCCCTGTACAACTGCGCCTTTTGTACACTCCGATTTAAATAAGTCTTTTAAACATATGTTAATCGATAAAGCAAAACTCGGAAAAGACTTTCTAACTTATACTACTTATGGTAGTTAAGATAAATAAAATATTAATAAGAGCATAGAATCAGAATATCGATCAGTTCAGTGATGGAAAGGCGTCCTTACTGAGCTGCTATTGTGACGGAAAATTATCTTTGTGCATGTTAAGGTTGATATGCCTGAAGCGTGGTATAAGCGTGAAAGGAGTGTCCGATACAATACGGATGACGCCATTGTCGTGTTATCATGTGTCTAGGAGAGTAAGCATACCCAGTATGGCGCCACATCCGTCAAAGCTGCTCAGGAAGTATTCGAGATTTGACTCGTTTCAGGGCAGAAAAGATGTGTTCAGCTGTCGAAGAGCTCCAGAGCTTCTTGGTAACTAGTTGACATGTCTGTGTGTTCAGAGTCATCGACAAACCTTTGCCTTATCTTAAATATCTGCACAAAATCAAAGTCATTATTTGGCCATGTTCTGTTGAAAAACAGCAAAACAGAAAATTTTGCATATTCCCTTAAATTTATTTATGGAAAATTCATCAAGCCTTCACCTGCATACGTGCGAATATCAAAGTGACGAAAAACTACTAGAATACTAAAATCTAATAACCTCTAGAAATTAAATTTAGATTTACAATGGCATTCATGATGGTAATAACAATTAATACTCCTGGACATACTACGACAAAAACAAAATCATAACCTACAAAATGTAGTCACGGGTCATCTAATAGAATATACGGTAAAATCCATCTTTAAAATTAATTAGATTAATGAATGAAATGGGCGTTATCACAACTTATCTTCGTATGTTTACCTTTTGAAGACTTGAAAGAAATATATGATTCAACACTGTTTTTTTATAACATTTTGAATATCTAAAATCATAATAAGAGAGGGACGCTTTGTCAATTGCTAACGAGAAGAAGAATTGGGGGTCACTTCATTTTCCGTCGCTGGTGGGGCAAGCCATCCTGCATTACTGACACGTGAAAAACACAGCTATCATTTAATCTAACCCTGATAAATCCCGGACCTCTAGATAAGCAAGCAAGCGTCAGAACTCTCGGCCGTCAAATAACCATACCATGAACGATCAATCACAATTTGAAAACGACGAGGAAGTAATATATGTTGTGAATTTGATAACGACGAGGAAGCAATATTTGTGAATTTTCCACTTTATCTTTGTTCACAAGTTATCAATAACTTCCGCGTCATACATTTTCCCAGAATTTGGTTGTATTATTTTCCTTGTTAAACAAGTCATTAAGCTTTCTATTCAAGGCAAACAGCAGAACATGTGAGGATTATCAGTTAAGACTTATTTTAACATACACTGTAAAGGAACAGTCGTCTGTCGAGGTTTGTGTTTTGTAATAGGTTAATAAAAATGTAAAAAAAAACCAGTTATTTTAACGGATCATTGCCGGCAATCATATGATAGAATAGGATTTCTGCAAAATTCGATCAAATATTATTAGTATCATACTTGTTTAATGGATAATGTTAGGCTTACTTAGTTTAAGGCAATAAATTTAAAAGGAGTTAATGAAGTCGGGTTGTATCCTGTACTATATTTACAGGTTAATATTATAGACGGACGGACAGGAGCTACATTTTACTGTAGAAAAAGCTCCTTGCAAACACTTGCCTTTTTTATTCATTGAACAGGGCAATTGTTTTTACTTGCTATTTATGGAAAACCCCGTATTTACTTACTTTTTGAACACAATAATTCCAGGTTAATATCCACGAAAATATATAAAGATTCAACCTGGTCAATCAAACACTTGAATTCTATTCAATTATTGGAAAAATATATTGTCTTTATTCTTATTTTATTGATTTTAGGTTAGATCAATCAACATGGTAGATCATCGATTTTTAAGTTGTTTTCTTATCTTTGTTCCCCTTGTTCGTAAGTAGGTTATTTAAACAGACAGATAAACAAGACATCCTTATCCTTACAGAACGCCTGGTATATTTGAACTCAACATGATAATTGCTTAAATTTGTTAACATATTTGTTTTCACGGTCTGTCACCACTTGATCAAGAGCGGCATGAAATTGGCCATTTCGAAATTTCCCAATGCGTAACAGAGCTTAACAATGCACAACAGAGCTTGATAATCGTATCAGAGCGTGATTTAAAGCGTCATAACCGCATCAAAGCTTAATAAAGCTTATCAAAGCGTGATTTAAAGCGTAACAAGGCCTGATCAAATCGGGAAATAATTTGTCCCCAAAGCGTAACCAATTCGTATCAGAGTTTATCAGAGCGTAACATTACTTAGGAAATCGTGATATTTTTTGATAAGTAAACAAAAAATGATGGCGCTTTGCTCGCCGATTAAAAGCGCGGCATTCGCCGTTGGTGTGAACTAGGCATTAGCTATAGTTCCGGATTAGAGATCAGATCAGAGACGCTAACATGAACTTGGATAGACGTTGAGTATATATTATGGACTCGGGTGTCGGTGCTGCAGTTCGTGTGCAGTTGAACAACAAAAACCTCTCTAAGCCGATACAAGTAACAAAGCAAACTTCCATTTTACACACTGAATGACGTTTTACGTCTTCATTGGGAGAAACGTAGGATTAAGATAGAAATCGTTTTATATTATGGTATGAGTAAATTATCTAACTCTGTATTTTATATTTTAGAATGTCAACTGTTTATATGTTATTTTACACCTACAAGTTATTTCCCTTCCTCATCCGTTCCTTCAAACCTGTGTACTCATGTCATATATGCATTTGCTCAAATTAAAGATGATGGTGGAATAGGCTTCCGGTCCACCACAGAACAAACAATGGTCATTAACATGACTAGAAGATTAAAACGGGCAAATCCCCATTTAAAAGTATCGTTATCGATTCAAAATGGATTTCCAAAAGTTGTAAAATCCCTTACAGCTACAGAGAAGTAAATATATGTCTATACATCATTGAACCTGTTTCTTTAAAGTGATTGTCGCGTTTGCTTCAACTAATAATGTATTTTATTCTATACACAGAATGCTTCAAACACAATTGAGAAATCTAAAATGTAATATGGTGTTAAATACCCAGCCAGCACTATCCGTCACATAAAGTATTTTGATTTCGCGGTGCACGTATATCTTTCAAATGAGTGATTTATATGATTTATAGTAGCTTAATAGATATTTCCTGTGTAACCGAATGGCGCAGAATTGCAGCTATAAAACCAGATAGCCGGTGTTCATATAGCTAAGATATAGCTATAGGTAGTAAAAATAAAATCATCCCTTAACTTATTCAGCCATACCACCGATAAAGTTTGTATATGCAATTTCTAGGTTTGCGTTCAAAGCAATCAGATTTTTGAGGAAATATAAGTTTGATGGGATCGATTTTGATTGGGAGTTTCCATCACCAGCAGATAGAGATATTTATTCTCGATTTATAGAGGTAAGAAACTTTAAAGAAATACTGACAAATGACACGTACCAGGTGTGATCATAAATTGGCAATTACCTGTCATTTACTGTTTAAAATCAATCATTGTGCAGTTTTGCTTCTATTCATGGTTGATGTAGTAAAACATAAATTTCATATCCTAAATGTATTTGAAATGAGAAATCCATAATTATAATTATATCGTTCAAAAATAAAAACACTTTCTCTGTTATTAAAGCAAATTTTAAAAGATCGATTTAATGTTTATAAATATTAATATTTTTATGAAAATCTTTTGAAAGTAAATTATCTAGAGTGTTTTTATATTATTATTCTCTGTAATTCTTATTGTAAATTGCCAACATTATAAAATACAAAATTATTTATTCAACATTTTGAGAATAACTATGTTTTAAGTCATAGAACAGTGCTTCAATTTGTATTTTATCTTTATTGTATGGTTAAATATACCAATATAGGCAAAAATTGATCTGATTGTATCTCATGATGTTGATCTGTATAGCAGTGGCCTACACTTTTCGAAACATCTGAATGTACTCATTGGACTCTCGACTCTCGACTTTTCCAATGGAATTGTCTTTTTATTTATATATTTAGTGATTAGCTTAGTCTTAGGCTAAAAATTCCCTTACCTATCCCTTTAGTTTACAAGAGTATAATAAAATGATAACAACTATCAAAATGGTGATGGTATTACATTAAGTAGTGGTGGTATAGGTCTTGATAGATAAGCAGGGCATGGTCATAATTCCAAAACAAACTGGAAATAATTTTGGACCGAAGAGAAATCTAAATCTGTGATATGAATTGACATATACATTTAGACAAATTTTAATCGTAGGTATTTAGAAAGAATGTAGACATGGACGCTAAATTAATCAAACCAGCATTGCAGATGTCAATGGCACTACCTAATAATGTTAATATTTTCAAATCCAGATACGATGTTACTGTTCTCAATAAGTAAGTATAACACAATAACTAACTCTGATTATTTTTTTTATATAGATTATTATTATACGATCTTGAGAAAAGTCAAGGTATACCTTATTACCTATTGTCACCTTTAGGGAAATCACCCTGGAACTCACTCGTCTCTCTCTGGTATACATAACTGCAGCCATCGCAGTTCTTTATTTTAACCTTTAATATTTTGGTTTTTGGTTTTTGATTTTTGGTGATTTCTTATTTTTCCTATTTTACTATAAGAAGAAATCAATACTCCTATACATTAGACCTCTTCTGAACAGTAAACATATTTACATATTGTTTAGGAATGTAGATTTCTTCACTATAATGGCTTATGATTTCCACGTCTTCAATGCAAAGGTTGATTCGAAGACTGGATTTAATAGTCCATTATATCCAGTTGCTGGAGAATCAAAATATTATTCAGTGGTAAGTAGTTTGACACTTCTCAACTTTGGTAGTCTCGTCACGTCATGATATTCTGAACACAATGAAAATATGGGAGATGTGATCAAGCTCATGCTGATGAAATGGATTTTCTTGATTCAATTAGTCCAAATGATGCCTTCCAATTTCCAACCTGATGACCGTTATGCCTCTCAGAGCGGTCAGTACCTCACTACTGCTTATTTATGCTGTCAAATAAAGGGCATTCTCAAATATTGAAAAATAATACTATGAAAGTGTTTTTATTCACTAACCTAGAAGCTTGGTGGAATGGTAGTCTTTAATTAGGTTTTTACGATTTCAGGCTGGATTAATGCAGTACTACATCAGTTCAGGTCTTCTACCTTCTAAAACTATTGTGGGAATCCCTACTTATGGTAGATCCTATAAATTGGCAAATCCAAGAAATTCTGGTCTTCATGCACCGGCTGTTGGTCGAGGTGATCCAAGTCCTTCTAGAAAACTTCGAGGCGTGTATACTTACACGGATGTAAGTATTTGTTTTGTCGATGTATCTCAGGTGCTCTGTAGACATAAAGCAATTGCTTCAACTTCAATTGTCCAATTACAACAACGGGTACTTATTCTTTCATCTTTTCATTGTCAAGTTTCATGTTCAAATTTCGTACCTATTGTTCTTTTTCACCGAAACTAAACTGATATTCCCTTTTCAGGTCTGCATTGCAATCAAAAATGGTGCTAAATTCTCAACAGATGCCAAATCTCATGGGAAGTATCTAGTAAAGGGTGATAACTGGGTGGCGTATGATGATACGACTTCAGTTGGAGAGAAGGTGGGTTAGTAAAATAATACGAGACAGAGATTAAGCCAATACAGATGACAATAATCAACTATGGGGCTCTCCAAATAGAAAGTGTGACAAAATTTTTAGTACGATTCGAGTTTAGGTATCTTCGTCTTTCCTCAACAAGTTGGTAGGGCTGGTTTTAAATGGAATCTTATTATTCGGATTGAGCACAAAGCCAAGCCCCCTCACCCCCTCACACAACCAGAAAGGGTGTTGAATTTGGAAACCTTGATATCGCCTTATTCGGGAGAGATAAACATTAAGGATGACAAAAAGTCATTAAACTCCCGTGGTTGGTGTATATGGATTACACCTGTCCAAGTTGATTATCAAATTATTCCATTTGTTGTACTTTTCAGTAGCACAGCTTGCCAAGAAATACCAATTATCAAGGAACTAAACAGGGAACTCCACAAAAATTCCCTGATATATTTCAAACAGATTTAGTTATTGCTTTTAAACGCAATTAGAATCTTAATAATATTTTAGTCCATGGTAGACCCATAGGTCAATAGAACTTTAATATCAATATATGTAATTATATATATTTTTTACAGAATATTGGTTCCTCTCCATTTTAATTTAATACTCTCTCTTTAGTTCATAGGATGTTGGTTACAGAAACAGAAAACGACGAACTTCATTAACATTAATATATATACTCTATTATTTTAGAATTATTTAATTTATAATTAGTATCACTTTATAATTTAATGTCATTACTTTATAAAAATCAAGTTGATGTAGCTGAATTTTCACCTTGGCCTGTGCTTTCGTAACTTCAATTATGTGTTGTTGTTGCAACCACTCTTACCAATAATTACTGCACATTAGCCGAAATAGAATCTGATTGTTATTGCAGACTCAATGGGCAATGGGGAAGGGATTTGGTGGTGTTGGTATTTGGGCAGTAGATCTTGACGATGATACCGGTGTGTGTGGTTCTAAGCTACCATTGATGACAACTATAAGATATGTCTTAAATGGGGAAATGAGAAGACAAAATCGAGTTCGTACTCGACCTTTGAAGTCAAAATGGGTGGAATTGTTTTACAAATTACAGGTTCTGTAGGTACAACTCATTGCAAGACAAAGATTGGCGAATTGTCCATAGCTGAATCCATAGCTAATTATCAAAGAATCTGATAATATTTTCAACTCACAAATATTTTCTTTTACATAACCTGCTTTTATTTTATATCTATTACTATTAATAGTAAATATAAATATATATTATTTGATTTCCTTTCTTTTGTAATTAATTTCAACAAAACATAACTTACTTAATGGCAATCAATCGAAACAATGCAAGCTGCATCCTATTCAAAATCAAAATATTTAAATGCGTTGAATCCAACTTTTGTCTGTAGATATAGGAAGCATATAGATCTTAATTTTAATTACATAATCATCACATCCTATAAAGTTTAAAACTTGTTATTCGTTTGTATAATCGTTTATAAGGGTTATAGAAGAGTAAGCATACCCTGTATGGCGCCACACCAGTCAAAGTTGCTTAGCATACTCAACAAACGCGACAAATAGGAAGATAAAAATGAAAAGGTGACAGGACGGATGAACTTTGATAATTCAAGGGAGGTAACTGGTAGAATGTAATTTTAACAGTTTATGGGAGGGAACTGATCACAAAAGTAATATCTTGATAAGAATATTTGTTGCAGACAGTGCGGGTGATATTTGGACATTTTATCTATTAGGCACAGGGGGTGCAGACCCTTACACTATTTGAATATGGTTTTGAAACGCATGGGCATCTTGTCGTTGTCGATTTGTGCTTTCCGAGACGTAGTCCGAAACATCTGCCTCTATTCCAGCCTCTGATGGATATTCATCTTTTCAATTTATGGGTGTTACAGATCCGAACTATCTAAATTGGTTTAAAACCCCTGCATCTGCAGAGATGCGGAAAGTCGCAATTTTACAGGGCCTATCTCTTCACCAGCCAGACATCTGTCCAATAGCTACCAGAGACTGGAATAGAGACAGATGTTTCGGTCTACTCGAAACGATACCATGAAACATTTGGAAACAAGGATAGCTTGCCAGGCAAGATAACAAACGTCCACTGGTAGCTGTCAGAAATAATAACATAATCTTAAATAAGAAAAGGGTGATATGAAACAAAATATGGTCAATTTCAAACTTGACTGAAATATAATCACTTATGTTATCTTATTTTTAAACCAATTTTGACACCTATTGCAGGCTATAACTCGAAGAACTCCAAAATCATCCGATTATTATCAAATCAAATCATATCTAATCAATATATACATTGTGTCTACCAGAAACTTGGACGGAGGCAATATACATCCACATTTTTATGTGGGTTATATAAAACCACAATAAAATTGTTAATTTCACCTTTGTTGTCATGTTGGATGTCAAATGAAATGATTTATGAAGTGTCGGCACTGCGAAATACTTGATGGAGGAAGTGTTTGAGATGTGGTTACTAGAAATTATGTTAATTTACACATTTTTCAAAAATGAAGAACGTCAAAAAGTCACATGCCTTGTTCTTACTAACAAGCACGTGTGACCACATCGGTAAGCCCCGATTGATTGAAAATATAGTGATATGCCACTGATTTTGTGTTTTTGTGCAAAAAGCTGTGAATTCGACCCGTCCTATTACCGCTGTTACTTCTCTTAGCTGTCAGCCACCAATGCTAATACCATTGACAGCTACCAATGCGATTACCTTTGTTACTTCCCTTAGCTGTTAGTTACAAGTGCTATTAAGCTATACATTGCCACTTTCTCTTAGCTGTCTGTAATGAATGGTTATACCATTGTCGCCTCTCTTACCTGTCCAATGATATTACCTTTATCACTTGTTTTAGCTGTCAGCGAGCAGTGCTATTACCATTGTCTCTTCCCTATCTCTTAGATGTCAGTAACCAATGCTAGTACCAATGTCACATCTCTTTCTGGTAGCTGTCAGTAACTGCCAAATACACAATGCAAACTTTTTTCTCCCTCATTTTCGTACGAAAAAATAAATTTCGCCGAAAAAATGTTTTATGTCGGTATGTAGATAATATATTACAGGTTGCATAATAATATTCTGTATATATATAGGCTACATCAATCAAAACTGATATACATGGGTATAAAAAATTGAGCGAAGAATTTAAATAGATCATTTTCGAAATGGTGTCTCTATTAGCTGTACTCCTTTTGCTGCCTCTCATGGTATGCCAGTTTGGCGATTACGGCGGGAACTTTCAGCAGCGAAGTAGAAATGGAATCTCCAATATGAACATCATGGACTTTCTAGATAATTTAGATATGGATCTAAACTTTAAGATTTCAGACCTTAGGAAGGTTAACAATAAGGTTAGATTAACCATCGATATGGGCATGGAAGATAGAAATGACGTAGAATATGATGACGATTCTGTAGGTGAAAGAATGGGCGTGAATGATTATGATGGAGGTTACCAGGAAAGGAATGATGAGAAATGGGAAGGAAACGTTGAAAGTGGCGAGGAGGGAGAAAGGGAAGATGATGAAAGTCGCGAAGATGAAATATCCACAGAGAGTAACGGTAATCAACTATTTATGTTGCACAAAGTCCAATATTAAAGGGATTGTAAAGATGTTTTGTAAATGTGTATCGGGGACATTGATAGCATCAATTTCCTCATTCCATTTTTCGAAAGTCTTTGGTTCCTGCAATTTCACTAAAACTAGTTGTTTGGTGTCGTCACTAATCGCTTTATCACAAAGACTCTTCGTGATAAGTGACGTCATTAAACACTTTTTAGTGGAATTGCAGGAACCACAGACATCTGTTCGAAAATTGTTTATTCCACCGTAAAGCAAGAAATACACGTTACTATACTTGTTGTATTTCTTTTTTAAAATAAAACTTGAAAGTGTTTCATTCATTCACAATATATTTAATGACCAGAAAATGTCTTTATTACCATTGGTTGCTTCCTTTGATAAAACATTTTATTAACCGCACGTGATGCACGAGAGGTAGATAATTCTCGTATTCAATGCGGAATAGAAAAAGAAAAACACGTCTAGCGTGAATTATATTCACAAGTCATGAATTGTATATCGAAATCATGTTATATATTACGATCGTATTATCTCTTACAGAGATGGTCATAGCTAACAATCAGGATAGTTGTATTGGGACATTTAATGATAGAAACCCAAGTATTGGTTGTATCAGAGATGGATGTTGTAAGGATACCTATCAACTAAGCAATTTATGTGCTGGGAACTCTGTGTGTTGTTATTCGTTAAATATTTGTAGTAAGTATTCTAAAACCCAAAAGAAGCCACGTCTACTTAATACTACCTTATTTTTTTTTAATTTGGCCAAAATGAGCTTATTTCATCAATGTCATACCTATACATTTATTACCCGATTGATCCATAATACTAATCATCCATATAAAAATACGATATGAGAATTTGGATGAGTTCGTCACGTAATGAGGTTAAGACTTATTGCCCTCCCATTTGTCAATCGAAAGACTGGTATCGAAAGAAAATATCAAGCCCACATAATATGATTAGATCTAGGATAAATCCAAAAATGAAATTTTGTAAAGGTAAAATGATAGAAATATTTCAATTTCTATATCGCTCTGCGATTGTTGTATTGAGCACTGTGAAAATATTTTATTATTGTAAGGTAAAATAATATACAGAGAATGAAAGTATGTAAAATGAAAAGGCGGATATATTTCGGACCGAAATTTTCAGTTTTAGAAAAAAAAAACGAAATTGTGAACAGAGTTGTGTCATGTACAATTTTCGATAAATGTTAAACATTTAAAACAAACCTGAATTATATTTTCTTCACATGTCACGTTACAAATGGAAAAGCTAGACCTTACAGTTTTTATACGCCTACATTATAATAATGGTCTTATATTGTCGTCGCCCCTGTCCGCATGCTTGTGAACACAATGGTGGATACAGTATTTACCCAAATTTTAATGAAATTTGGTTTGATCATTTATATTAACGAGACCTTGGACAAGTTCGAATTCGACGTTTTTTCGATGAACAGTTTTTGAGTTATTGCCCTCGACTTAAGAAAAACGCGCCGAAATTTATTGTGAAGATTGCAGTTTTTATGTGATTTTAACGAAATTTGGTGTGATCATATATATTTGTGAGATCCTGGTTCAAAAGTTCAAAATTGACGATTTTTCGATAAGCGGTTTTTGAGTTATTTCCCTTGACTTAGTAAAAAAGCGTCAACTTTTCTTTGTGAGACGACAGTTTTTATCTGATTTTGATGAAATTTACTGTGATCATCTATTACAATGAGATCTTGCTCAAGTTTGAATTTTACATTTTTCGATGAACGTAATTTAAGTTATTGCCCTTCACTTGGTAAAATTATTTGTTGGCATTGTGAACGCGATACAGGTGACAGTTTATATCTGAATTATATGAAATTTTGTCTGTTAATTAAATCAACAATATCTTTGACGAATTAGATATTTGGTACAATTTGACCAAATCGTCTTTAACTCCGCCGACCCCCCTTAATTTGCATGATGTGGTGCTACAGACTAATTTGGCCCGTCGGTAAGGGAAGGAATGACTTCCTCGAAAAAACCCTTTCTTGGGTATGGTATAGCCCATCGGGTTCGTTCTTGATTGATCTCTTCAAGGGCAACGACACAAAAGTGAAATCTGAAAGGCACATTGCAAAGGCGAATTTCACCTTAAGCGAACTGCCATGCGGATGCGATTCAGGTGAATTGCGGAGGCGTCTTTGGTCAATTACGGAGGCGTCTCTGGTCAATTGTAGGCGTCTCGGTTCAATTGTGCAGGCGAACTACCAAAATGGAGGCGGTTAAGGTTGAAAGCAGAGGCGTCTAAGGTCAGTTTAGGAAGTGCCTCTGGTCAATTGTAGGCGTCTCGGTTCAATTGTGCAGGCGAACTACCAAAATGGAGGCGGTTGATGTTGAAAGCAGAGGCGTCTAAGGTCAGTTGAGGAAGCGTTTCAGGTCAGGTGCGGAGTCGTCTCATGTTAAGTGTGGAGGCGTCCCTGGTCAATTGCGGTGGCGAACTGGCATTGCGAGTGCTCATTTTTTTTTATGCGGTGGCAATCTTGGTCAGATGGGGGCCTCTCAGGCAGGTTCGGAGGAAATCTTACCTTAGAAAAGTCTTCTTTTCGCCTTCATTGCTTCCAATAAAATAGGTAGATGTTACTCCCACAATTTTTGAGCGATAAAAGATAACGAACGAGTAGACCAGGCTCTCCCTTGGGTATCCACGACACATCCAACCACCTTCCAGAGGCCAGAACTGCCTAATTCCTTGCTAACATCTTACAGAGATTCACGAGCTCAAAACCATGGCTCCCTTAGGTATCAACGAATTCATTTAGCTTTCCTACCGTCACTGGCAAACTTTATTTTGGTTTCAGAATTAATTAGTTAGGATATATACACTAGAATGTGAATGTGAACGTACTACAGGAGTTTTTGTACAAATTTCTGTGATAACTTCACTAATAAGAAATATTTTTCTAAAGGTTCCATGAAATTCCAATTTGTGCTGGCATATAGTTGTCTGAGCGCTCCCTCTTTTTATTGCAGATTTTTGTTTCAAAACATATGGCACGTGGATAAGTCGTTACCAACACCACCAAACTGAGCAAATAGTTAAATCAGCATTTAAAGATCTGAAAGCCGTTGGCATTACAAGGGTATATATCAATATATGGGCTAATGGTAACATATATGCAAAAAGTTCTACAGCGAAAAGCAATGGCGTCAATATGCCACGAGATGCGTTAGAGTGGGCAGTGAACGCGGGGAAAACGTACGGCCTTGAAGTTTTTGCGTGGTTTGAATATGGAACTCAAGCTGAGAGTGGTTTAATTCCGTCGAGTAAATTCGCAACAGAAAGTGATAAAAAAGGATGGCTTCTCAAAACCAGCAATGGTGGATATACAACGACAGCGGGTGGAAAGTACGTTTATCTTAACGCCTTCAATCCAGCAGTTCGAGAATTTATCGAAAATATGACAGCCGATATAGTGAAAAATTATCGAATCGATGGTATTCAGTATGATGATCATATGAGTTTTCCCACTGGATTTAAACAGGTTGACGATCTCAATAGCTCTACACGTCAAAGAATTATGAAAGACTTTATGGATCAAATTAAAATGAGAGTTGAACGAGAAAATGTCAATACCATCGTATCATACTCACCGGCACCTCTTGACACTGCCATATCCAAACACAACGTAGACTGGACAAATTATATAAAAGATGGTATTGTGGATGAGATAGTGCCACAGTATTATCGTGTATCCATAAACGCTTATAGGAAAGTGTTAGATGTTGATATTCCAAAACTTGGTGGTCAGCAGACTTCAATGATTGCAGGAATTCGGCTCTCGGGATCCAGCAAGCCTTATAATACGCCATCTGACGACGTTAATGAGATGATAAAGCTTTCTTATGATGTGGGATTCAAAGGGATTTCTTTCTGGTTGGCGGATACTATCCTTGTTGGAAATTACACACCGCCTCCACTTAATATATGCCAACAATCACAATTAACTTACCCCTACTCTGCTTAGTTGTTACACTGCAAAATGTTTTCTGAGAAATGAATTTATATTTCGATATAATGTTAATCTGAGAAATAACTTTTTATTTTGACATAATGTTAATCTGAGAAATATATTTGTATTTTGATATAATGTTAATCTGAGAAATATATTTGTATTTTGATATAATGTTAATCTGAGAAATATATTTGTATTTTGATATAATGTTAATCTGAGAAATATATTTGTATTTTGATATAATGTTAATCTGAGAAATATATTTATATTTCGATATAATGTTAATCTGAGAAATATATTTGTATTTTGATATAATGTTAATCTGAGAAATATATTTGTATTTTGATATAATGTTAATCTGAGAAATATATTTGTATTTTGATATAATGTTAATCTGAGAAATATATTTGTATTTTGATATAATGTTAATCTGAGAAATATATTTGTATTTTGATATAATGTTAATCTGAGAAATAAATTTTTATTTTGATATAATGTTAATCTGAGAAATAAATCTCTATTATGAAATAAATGATAATATGAGAAATAAATGAATGATAATTTAGTCTATTATATATTTCAGTACTTTATTCCTTAAAGCAAATTATTTGTAATCTAAACAAACTTTATAGAGAATAATAAGTTTATTAAACGATAAAAGAATATTGAGCAAGATAGGAAGGAGTGAATACAATAAAATAAAAGAGGAAAATTTGTAAATCTGACATCAACATAGGATATAATTTGGAAAAATGAAGAAATTGTTCAATGAATTCTTGAGTTGCATTTAATTCTTGATTTAACGAACAAATGCAAATGGGATGAGATGATAAAGGGACATCACCTTTAATATAACGCTGTATCTGAGTCATCCTCACCTAACTACACCTATCTATAGAGATTGTATTGTATTTCTAGCTCTATATCGAGACAGGCTCGTAGCCAAGCTTGCCCCCCCCCTAAAAAAATCTAATTCTCAAAACCGACACACCTCAGACCCTATACAAATAATCTTGAACCTTCATTTCGTCGGGAAATGTCAGGAAATCACGTTCCCGGCGTCTAATTCTCAAAATATTCTAGGTGAGTTACCCAGACCCAATACAAATAATCTGGAACCTTAAATTAGCTGGGAAATGTCAGGAATTTGCGTTTCCAGGCGTCTAATTCTCAAAATTTTCTAGGTGAGTTACCCAGACCCAATACAAATAATCTTGAACCATAAATTCGCTGGGAAATGTCAGGAATTTGCGTTTCCAGGCGTCTAATTCTCAAAATTTTCTTCTGGTGGTCCCAGAGTCCCTATACAAATAAACTTAAATTCGTCAGGAAATGTCAGGAAATCACGTTTCAGTGAGTAAAATTTAAAAAAAAATCTTTAGATGTGGTCCCCAGACATTTTTCCAGGCTTCCAATGGGCGTACTCGGCAGCATTAAAGATAGCAATAAATAACTATAGAGAGCACTAATGTAACAATTCACGAAGCGTGCCTTAACTACCCATACCCTCACCCTTCCCCCCTCCCCCTTGATTGAACGTTTGCCCCCCAGAATTGGCTGGCTACGGGCCTGTATCGAAATCATTTTTATTTTGTAAATAGTCAAATTTCGCATTGTTAGCTGTCAAGATTGTTGCATCATATCAGTACGTAGGCATACGAAACTGCGTAAGGTTCTTACATGGAAATAACACACGCGAACATAGTTCACAACCATTTGGAATCAATAATCGACATAAGTCGAACGTACGTAGACTGCAAAAGGCTATGATATTTCCACTAAGCCTTCAAAGCATATTTCAGGGTGTAGAAATGGCTTTAAACGTGGATTTGAAGGCATTGTTGCAATATATAACAAATACTGCCTTTTGCAGTATTCGACTTATGAAGTCGACTAGTAATTCAAAATGGTTGTGAACTACATTCGCGTGTGTTATTTCCATGTTAGAATCATACGTAGTTTCGTATGGGTACGAAGTTTTTCAATTTAAATTACAAAGTGGCTTATAATAAGCGTTAGCTTATATCTATATGTATGTCGCCCCATTACATAGATATCGTGACAATTTAGTTTTTCGAGACACACACGATAATGTATGATAACCGAGATTCGTACAGTATCATGACCCCTTGGTATACACAACACTATGAAGTGTCATGATGTTAACTTGATCATCAAGTTGAATTGGCGGACCATGGCCGCTTGTCTCCTCATCTTCCTCTTGAAGAACCCAATCAGTTCGGCTTCTCCTGGTTCCCGATATTCACTGGTTCCCTTTATCTGCTAAATTATCTCCCTTGGTGTGAATCAGCAGAAATACCGTTACCATGGTGACACCAAAGCCATATTCAATGACAAGGATGTAAAATATAACGTGATATGGAGGTAACGGTTTTTCAGTATTTCGCTTTTCGGTTGCCTTTAAGCTCGTTCTGAAAAAAGCAAACAAAAATTTTCGTTAATTTCATAACAGCCATTTGCATGTTAAGACTGGCCCTGTAGGCTACACAAATCGCCTTATCCAAAGAGCGACTTGTCAAGTCAACCCAGTTTTTTGTGTGTAGAGATTCTATCTATCATTCTATAATGCATCTCATAAAGCAGTTAGGTGTTGTTTGATAATCTACCTTGTATATTTTATCTTTTTGCTTCATTCTTCTCCGTTTCCGGTATGGCTAGAATATAAAATATATACTCTTTCTGTATGAAATGAAACTACCAAATGAAATGGACTTTTAAGTCCTACTCTCCTGCTCAGCATATTACATGCCATTGTCACAAGTTTACCAAATCTTTGGAAATAATTCACATTGTCTTTCGTCGTTTCCATTTAAGCATTAGACATCACTAACAATAAAGGTCTAATTGAACTAACTAAATCATATATACTTACAAAAATATAAATAAGAATTAGGAATCCCACATTATAGCAGAGATAAATAATCGTTAAACATCCAAGCACTATACTTTCTATAAAATCTGCCTTTTCCGGATCTGGTAGTTGGGTGACAATGCCATGCCAACAACACACCATAGATAACATTATCATTGAGGCTAGGAGATATTTATCCTGAAAAATAAATAGATCACCGTCATAAATCATTGCAGGTTCAATAGTCTCAATGTTATGACCGTTTTTCTTTCATTTTTTTCGGGAAATTTTTAGACAAAATTGCTTACCATATATGTCAGATAGGATATTCTTGGAAGGCTTTGGTTAACAACCGATTTAAAAGCTACCGCTGTTAAAACTAAAGTAAATGACAACTGAAGACGATTTTCGGGGCGTGTTTTCTTGACAGAGAATGTTGCGAAGGATAAACTACAGATCAAAAACTGAAATGAATAAAATATGTGAGTTATCAACAACTACCCAATATTCAATACCCCGGGAACCCCAATCAAGAATTATAATCTCAAAATTGGCACTGAGGGGTTGAGTCTTGGGATGTAAGCAATGCTACATACATATTATGTTAAAGATAGTCACAACAATCACATTTCTGGCTTTTTCAGATCGAACTGATGAAGGTCTGTGACTGAAAATGAATAAAGGTAAAAGAACATGTCGTGCAAGATTTGTATACTATCACTATACTATCTTAATTATCTGTTGACGTCCTCTGTCCTCTGCCTTATAGCTGCTGTTTATAGTTTTAACATTATGCGAAATAAATCAACGCACACTTATACTTTAAAGATTCCCCGAGAATTGGATAGGTTGTGAGACCAATTGACTACACTGAAAAAGAACCAATAACTCCGCTTCATTTCCAGTCAAAAGGTATATAATACTTACCGTAACCATAAATATATTCCATACAAAATATCCGGGCCTCCTGGCTGCTCGACATTTTACGGATAAAGCTGATCTTTTCACACTTTGGTCAATTTGGTCAATTATCAAATCTTTCTTTTCACATTCCGTATGAGCATATAGATGCCATTCCTGCTCATCCACAAAGCTTAACCTGTTAACAATATGGCGGTTATCATAGTCCTCGATTAATTCTACTTCATAGGAGGGAAGCTCCGAGGCTATAGTCACGGTGAGATCCTGAAACGATATACTGTTCATTGACAATATGTTGAAATCAAAATTCTACTTTTCCATACAGATTACGTAGTGAGTGACTTGCGGTGCTTTATTCAGGTATTTGTAGGCTTCATGACAATATAAGGTTATTTGAAGTAAATGAATCCTAATGCTTGCTAGCAATCCCATGACGACAAAAATGCATTTGGATTTATAACTCTTACCTGAACATCAAATGGAAAGTGATTGAGTTCAAGATTCTCCATGAAAGTTCCTTTAATAATACGCTTCTCCGAGAGGTAGGCATCACCTTTGTTATTGTATACAACCCTGTATCTAACTACTTCTTTGGGATCTCCTATTGTATTCTCTATGCTAAGTTTGGGATTCCAATATTTATGGTAGTCGTACAGATCACCAACCTGAAATACAGAAAATAATGAGAAATATAGAATCTCTCATATACAGATGGGATAAGATAAGAAGTATGCTATTCAGCTAAAAATATTAGTTTTGTCAAAATCCGGCAAGAATCCTGCCTTTAATTGTTCATGAGCTAAAATTTGTTTTCGATAACGAATGCTGAATATTTTTTCTATTCTTATTATTTTCCATAGAGTTCACCCTTGAGCGATTACAAACACTCACACCAAATTTCTTCAAAATCCACCAAGAATTGTACCTTCTAGTGTTTACGAGCATTTGTAGACGAACTAAAGGACAGACATGGTTAATGTCAAAATCTCGAAATTGACTAGTTGACACTTCTCCTGGTCTATTCTACTTCTAAAAGGAATAGACCGGTTTATTTTCAAGGTGAGGAATTACGCTATAATTATAAGTGAAACTATATCTAAACGCAGTGGATATAGATAAGGGTCAGCTTCCTCTATGTGTTAGCATGAAGTATTATTGTATTTCACGATCAAGACCACAAGAACTAATTGAAAAATCCTGTCTCGCCCTTTAAAGGAATTGGGCGTTATATTTCCATTCTGAAAGTTTAGCTAGTGTAGTAATAAGGAAGGATGTAGGTAAGTTGGTCACAGGAAATTTTGTCTGACCCACCCTGTGATCAAATTTCATGTGACCAACTTACCGTACACCATAAGGATCAAAGGAAATGTGTCATGTAGGCCTAAGCCTCTTTTATTATAACTCAACATTCTGCCACTAAATGAAAAAGACTTAGAAGTGCAGACTAAATTTTCACTTTCGTTCAGCGTTTACAATCGCACTATGAATTGGTAATTTAAGGCTCCAGCACACGGAGAGAATTTGGCGCGCGCTACTTTCTCACCACATTACTCTCCGTTCACAATGCGCCTTTTGCTGAACTATATCTGACGTCAGCCTATCATATGATCAATCAAAATGGCAGATTGCTACAGTGATATGAGAGCGCAGCTCTTTGCCGTCGAGAGCCAAGCTCTCTATAATGGTAACGCATACATATACATCAATTCGTTTCAGAAAATTTATGCCCCACGGGCAGTCAAAAAAGAAAAAAGATGACGGGTCATGGGGGCCGCCAAGTTTGTTGACAACTAGATCGCAGTCAATCGGGGTAGTTTCGGAGTGAATATTCTGGAATTCTTTAAATAAATTACGACAATTGTTTCAAACACAGAAAGGGATGTTTTGTAGCAACCTAACAAGCCTTACGTTTTATTTTTATTTTTCCTGGATATTTTCTATGCTTCATAAGGAATAAAATGACAGCTTTGACCTAATTTCCCAAGACTTTCTCCCAAGCAATGATGGCGGCTTTGTTGACATACGTTAAAATGACGTTATCGTTATAGATGAATTACTTTCACACCTTTTAGAAATTTCTCTAGATATCTTATAAAAGATTGTCTACAGACCTTATATTCATAGAAGATTACCTTCACACATATGATAAGAAGACAAAGTAGTTTGCATTACATACAGATAAGGTTGAATTTCTTTTACTTAATTATTATTAATTATTGTTATTTGATCAATAACTTGCGCTCTCATTCAAGGCCAGGCCTTCATTCATATTAGTCACGCTTGTCCTTGTCTTTGAATTCAGGCGATCGGATATTATAGAGGCAGGGGTAATCTTGCCATAATTCAACAAATTTTACCTCAAGGATTGCTTTGTCTTCACTGGGCGCCGCCATCTTTGAATACCAAAACGCATACGCGTTGTGCTTGTCGTCTGAGAAAGTCGCGCACGGTTACCCGCAAACAGTGTGCCATCAGCCACGAGTGGTCAAAAATATCAAACACCATAGATATTTTCCACACGACCACGAGTGGCCAAATGCACACTAAAAAATACCTGCACACGAAGCGCTACTAGTCGAGCGTAATTGGCGCTGCGCCATCTTCTTTCCGTGTGCGGGCGCCTTTAGTGGTATTTCAACCAATCATCAATATATCGTTTGATTGCTAGTTTTTAAATCGGTATTGGCAAACTTACAATTTGTGTTTCGCTGTCTAAAGCTGGTTCTCGCCATTTTGCTCTAACTATGACGTCTGCTGTATATTGTTCTTTTAATGTGTCGATTTCACCAACTTTAAAAAACTGAACCCAGACTTGCACTCGCACCTGCAATAAGACGTATTGGTGTATAATCTAATAGAAGATGTTTTCACATACTACATACTATAAGCCAGTTATTGACAATAATACTTAATTAGTGTAGTCAATTGGTAACTGAGTAAAGGGATTGCTTTGACGCCGATTACGTCTCCAGTTAGATGGATTATCAATTATCGTTGATTATTCAAGATGAAGATGAATTGTGTCTTTGTGCCAGGCGTAAAAGAGGGGTTAAAAGTATTATGTAGGTAAGAAGGTGGTGCCAAATTTTAGCCTGTAATAGATCTAGCGATGACTTCTTATCTTGGATAGAATTGCGTCCTATTGACATAATCTAGATTTCTAAATTTGTTTTTAGGTCATAATGTGTGACGTCATGCTGATAACAAAAAATGTAATGAATCTTTTCTTGAAGTTAAAACATAGTTAGACAGTAGTCCTTTGTTGTTTTAGGCCATTATTTCAAAGAATGTACTGTTTTTGTGAACACCTACTCACAACTTCCAAAAACTGTACTTTCTTTGATTTAAGAATGTACAGTTTTTGGAAAAAATAGTACATTATTAAACTTAAGAAAGAACAGATTTTCAGATAACTAGAACAAACATATTATTGCAATTTTTGAAGCAATACTACAGTCAAATGAATCAAAATTTCATGGACAAATTCATTCCTGGCATTGAAAGTTTGAACTCTCCGAGTTCCTTATGTTCTTTGTCACTGCTTTCCTCATTAACGCAACGTTCTTGCTTAAATTTAGTTGGGCTGGTATCCACTAATTCTTCCAATTTATGTTTTTTGGAACCACTATGCAATACTGAACTCACAGAGGCTTGCTGGGCATCACTTGTTCTTTTATATGCTCGTAGAGCATTAGATCGGTGTCCAGTCTTTTCAGTGATCAATTGCTCGTCCACTCCAGCTTGATATAAACGAGTTGCAGCTGTGGCACGAAGGGAATGAATACTAAAGTTTCCAATTATACCAACCGACTGACATAAACGTTTAACAGTGGACTGTATGGTATGAATTCCTACAGGAGAATCACAGTACCAAACATCAGAGCATGGCATCTTCTTGGGACGCAGATAAAATGCATCTACTGTACCGTTTTTTGGACGCAGAGCTATATACTTTTCATATAATCTAACTGGACATCTTAATGGGTTAGAATTTTCATAAGCTCTTGTCATTTTAGGACTGACTTTCCTGTGATCTAAACCACCTTGGTTTGTCTTTGAAACATCTTCTATGTACTGCAGATATTTTATACCTTCTAAGTCATACTTAACAGACAATTGAGTGTTCATACCAAACCTTAAATTCCTGTGTTCTTGAGCAGCTCGCAGTGCAAAATGTAATCCAAACAAGAAAAGAAGAGTATCCAATAACTGCTGTGGGTTACTTTCACCTAACAAGCCTTTACTCCATAAAATCTCTTCTTGTTCTATTGTAATAACTTCTGACTTCTTGGTATTAATACCCAGTCCAAGTCTCGACAACTCCTTCATTTTACTGTTCAGAACACTTCTTAAACCCTGATATTCTTGATCATCCATAAAGGCTATTAAACGTCCATTCTGACGAAGGTAGTGCTGTATAGATATAATAATCTCATACAAAGTATTTGGTTTATAATTATCACCGGATTCCTTACGCACTTCAGCTATAAAAAAGGAAAGTGCCTCATTCAATTCTTGACTGGAAAGATTAAATAAACCTTTTTCTTCATAGTTATTATTGTTTCTGTGTTTCTTCCACATACTAAACAAATTAACTGCCCATCTAGTTTTATTTTCAGTTTTAATACTAAGACCACTTTTAACCAAATTCTTTAGATCAGAATCGTTCAGGGGCTTGGAAAACCTCAGTGAAGTCTTGGCATTTTCTGGCAAATTTGGTGTTTCAACATCGCTTATATCAGAGTACTTCAAATCAAAGTTTGGTAACTGTATGGCTTCTTTTACATAATTTTCCTCCAAATTCAGAGCATCACTAAGAACAGTATCCGTTTCTAAATTATAATCATCTATTTCACAAGTCTTTGTTTGGGTAATAAATATATCATCATCACTAGAACCTGACATCTTGACACTTGAAGCGTCAACTATTCAATGAATGAATGCATGAATGTTTAAAAGTGTACATTCTTAAAGTAACAACTGTCTTAAAACAGCTAGTGAGCTGTGTGCATGCTCATTTAATGTTCAAAAAGATTACATTCTTAAAGTGATATACATTGAGTCTCTCTCACAAACAAAATTTACTCACAGATACTATGTTTTAAGACAGATAAAGGCCTCAAACTGTACTTTCTGTTTTCGGCCTTTATCCCTTACTGAAAATTAGCAGACACCATGGTATTGACTTGAGTGAAAAACACACAACTTGTTCTACTATAAATTATCAAATAGAATGCAGAACATAATTCATAAAGCAACAGTTTGCGAATAATCCACATTTTAGACCAGTTGAAATTATTCATTCTGTTTAACAGGATAAATACTCTGTTAAACACTCTTCTGCTAAACAGATTAAATACTCTTTATTGAACGCTCAAATATTAAACATATCAAATACTATATTGAACACTCATCTGGTAAACAGTTTAAATACTCTGTATTGAACACTCTCCCGTTAAACATGTTAAATACTCTGTTGAACACTCTTCTGTTAAACAGCATAAATACTCTGTAACACACTTTTTATACGCCCACATAAAATGGGGGGCGTATATTGTTGTCACCCATATCCGTCGGTGCGTCCGTCCGTCGGTGCGTCCGTCGGTGCGTCCGTCCGTCCGTCCGTCCACAATTTTGACAAAACTTGGTATGAGTGTTCGTAATCACCCAAGGATGAACCCTACTGAAAATCAGAAGAATCGAAAAATACTTAGTATAAGTTATTGCCCTTGTTCTTCAAAACGCGTTCAATTTCTAGCTCGTAAACACTATAGAAGGGACAATTCTTGACAGATTTTAACGAAACTTGGCATGAGTGTTGGTAATCAACCAAGGATGAACCCTATTGAAAATCAGAAGAATCAAAAAATATTTAGTATGAGTTATTGCCCTTGTTCTTGAAAACGCGTTCAATTTTTAGCTCGTAAACACTCTAGAAGGCACAAATCTTGATGGATTTTGACTAAACTTGGCATGAGTGTTTGTTATCAATCAAGGATAAACCCTATTGAAATTCAGAAAAATCGAAAAATATTTAGTATGAGTTATTGTCCTTGTTCTTGAAAACGCGTTCAATTTTTAGCTCGTAATCATTCTAGAAAGCACAATTATTGAGGGATTTTGATGAAACTTGGTGTGAGTGTTCGTAATCACCCAAGGATGAACCCTATTGAAAATCAGAAGAATTGAAAAATATTTAGTATGAGTTATTGCCCTTGTTCTTGAAAACGCTTTCAAATTTAGCTCTTAAACACTAAAAGGCATGATTCTTGCTGGATTTTGACAAAAATTGGTTTTATTATTCGCTGAAGATTGAATATTTGACTTCTAGAGTTTTTTACGAGCTAAAAATTGAACACGTTTTCAAGAACACGGGAAATAACTCATACTCAATATTATTCAGTATCGCTCTAAAGAGTTCAAAAGAAGTGTATGACTGAAGGTTGAATATTTCATACTGGTGATTGTTACTGTACTGCTAAGTATTTTTATTCAAAATCAAAGCTGCTAGTAGGCGTATATTACCTTTCCTGGCAAGCTATCTTCTATTAAACAGGTTAAATACCCTTTAAACACCCTTCGGTTAAACAAGATAAATTAGATACTGTATTGTCAGGTTAAAGACTCTTTTAAACACCCTTCTGCTAAACAGGTTAAATACCCTTTCAAATACGTATCTGGTAAACAGGTTAAATACTCTTTTAAACACCCTTCTGGTAAACAGGTTAAATACTCTTTTGAACACCCTTCTGGTAAACAGGTGAAATAGCTCCAGTCAGATGTCAAATCCAATTAAATAACTAAATAAACTTCTATGTGCCATGTTTATGACTAACATATTTTACTTTTTAGTTCTGGTAAATGTATTGGTGACAAATTTAGAAATCTCGCTATATGTACATATAACTACAACACCTGATTCGAGTTTGACGTGTACTATTTTAGAAGAATATATTACTGAAATTGCACGTATTTTGCACCAACATAACTAGACAGAAGCAAATTTTATTCATTCAATTGATCTTAGTATAATTTATATATGTGACAAAGACCCCACGAAAATTGGAGGCACAAATCACGTCATTAAGACTTTACCAAAATCAGGGCGGCCAATAGGAAAGGGATCCTTATTGACCTTAAGTAAGTGCCATATACTTTTAAAACACATCAAAGAGCATGAACAGGCATTAGCTGAGTTAACCAATCCCCACCCAGGAAATAAAGGACCTCATAAGGGCCATATCGTGATCAGGTTCCGACATTTTGAGAATACTAACCGATCTGACATTTTTTTGGAATGTGGAACATTAAATTGTCCCCAAGAAAATATATTTGTATTTTGGTAACCAATCCCGATAACTATTGCCCCAACAAGTCAGTCTGTCCCCTATTTGTACCCCAAGTTCAAGAAGACTGGCACCGCCACTATATATGGGACATACTTTCTGGAATAAGGTGACCCGAATCTACGAATATTCATTGAGTTATAAAGATGTTTGTTATATATTGTGATAATTTTATCTCTTGTATGTTTTAACCAACATGTAGTTATTTCTAGCTTTCTATCTATTACTGGCATCAGGACGTTTTTTTTTTATATAAAAGATAGCTTGCCAGGCAAGGTAACATACGCCCACTGGCAGCTGTCAGAAATGATAAAACAGTCTTTAGTGACTAAAGTATGAATTTTCTCATATTAAAGAAATTTTAATAGTTTGAATTCACTGATATATATATTTACTGCCAGTTATTTATGCTGAAAAATTCCACCAAATTTTTAAAATCAATATCAATAATCCAAACATATCAAATTATCGCATCAATATACATGATCACACCATGTTTCATTAAAATCAATTGAAAACTGTAGTCTCTTATGTGTTCACAAATTTTGACGCGTTTTTCCTAAGTCAAGGGCAATAACTCAAAGACTGTTCATTGAAATATCAAATTCGAACTTATCCAAGATCTCATCAATATAAATGATCACACCAAATTTCATTAAAATCAGTTGAAAACTGTGGTCTCTATTGTGTTCACAAACAAATTTTGATTCATGTTTTCTAAGTCAAGGGCAATAACTCAAAAACCGTTCATCGAAAGATCGTCAAATTCGAACTTGACCAAGATCTCATCAATATAAATGATCACACCAATTTCATTAAGATCAGTTGAAAACTGTAGTCTCTATTGTGTTCACAAACAAATTTTAACGCGTTTTTCCTAAATCAAGAGCAATAACTCAAAAACCGTTCGTCGAAAGATCGTCAAATGCGAACTTGACCAAGATCTCATCAATATGAAAGATACACCAAATTTCATTAAAATCAGTTGAAACCTGTAGTCTCTATTGTGTTCACAAACAAATTTTAACGCGTTTTTCCTAAGTCAAGGGCAATAACTCAAAAACCGTTCGTCGAAAGATCGTCAAATTCAAACTTGACCAAGATCGCATCAATATGAATGATCACTCCAAATTACATTAAAATCAATTGAAAACTGTAGTCTCTATTGTGTACACAAACAAATTTTGACGCATTTTTTTTTAAGTCAAGGGCAATAACTTAAAAACTGTTCATCGAAAGATCGTCAAATTCGAACTCGACCAAGATCTCATCAATATAAATGATAACACCAAATTTCATTAAAATCAGTTGAAAATTGTAGTCTCTATTGTGTTCACAAGAAATGTTGACGGACCAACGGTCCAACGGACTGAAGGACCGACGGACAGGGGCGACGGCAATATACGTCCACATTTGCATGTGGGCGTATACAAATTTACAAACGTTATATAAACGTGAGGGTGGGAAAAAGGTTGAATCATTAATTTGTACAATCTTGTCTCTAGGTAGAGGTACTAAAAAATAATAAATGGTCTGTGCTAAAAACTTCAACCAGTATAGCTGCACTGTGGCCTTTCCACATAATAAATACATAAACTATCAATAATTGTAAATGTACTGCTGTAATATTTAAGAAGGTTATTATAAGTGGTAAAATGTAAAATAACATGACTAATATAAAGAAGTGTAAGAACTTTATGATCCAGTATAATTAATATCATCTAACAAAAGGTAAGATTTACAGATACCTCCTGACATCAGACGTCAGTTTTTTCTTTTCCTTGAGGACAGTGATAGAAACATTAGATATCAAACTTCAATAAGTAAACATTGGATCAAACTCGGGACATATGCGAACAAATGTTAAATTTACACTCTAATCAATAATCAATCTGTGGTGTTCAATTAGAAGACCAATCCTGTCAACCGATCAGGTTCTGTTTACAATTGTAATTTGATTAAATTGCTTTATCTATAATATTTAAAATATAAGAAAATATTTATCAAAAACTGAATTAATGTAATATAGTTGAAGAAAAACAGATTTGTTTTCCTACTAAACTAACTCATTAGAGAGGCTCTTGACATTGTTTACTAAAAGTAATGGATCTATTTATGTCGATCTGAATTAAGGGTATATACATATAAATATATATCTTACTTTTAGTTCTTATTATACATAACATGATCCCGATCTTCACCTCAAGCATACCAAGTTTTATCAAAATTGACAAGAAATTACAGATGTTCCATCAGTTAGAAAGATGTTCCATCAGTTAGAGTAATGAGCGGACAGACGGGCTGGCAGAAGGACATGAGCGTCGACAATATACGTCCACATACAAAGGTGGTTAAAAATGAAAATGCAAGAAAAGTAAAAAAAATAACCAATAAGCCATCGACAGGAAATTATGTTTATGTTCCAGAGCAAAGGAATTTAGATGTTATGTCAACATAAAAATTAATTAATGGAATATAACATTTTGCAAATTATCTGAATACGATGTTTTAACCATAATATCAGATCAGAATGTGGTTATTTCAAACAGAGTAGTTGGT